CGACAACAGTTCTCCTTTCTCCTGCTTTCTAGCTTTCTCAGCCGATAGCTCTTCTTTCTTATATGAGGTCTGCATATTAGGACAAGTTTCATATAAACATTTGCCCTAATATGCAAACCGTTTAAACTGTTCGACCCAGATGGTTGAACCGCTGACCTGGAAGCCGGTAGCTAAAACGGTTTCATTTCCGGGTCAATTTTTAAAACCTTGCCTGAACTTTCAAAAACTATCATTTTATTACCTATCATTAACAGTCCATCAGTTATCTAACGCATATGATGTCACATGTAATTTGAAACATGTCAAAATTCCAAAATTACCCTTTAGAAAAAGACACTGTTCATTGTCTTTTTCTTGATATTAAACCAGAGCAACGGTAAATAGAATCCCACTTGGACATTGTAGGAAACTATTCGATACGATGGACACTGTTTGAGGAAACTTTCATTCTCAAACACCACAGCCTTGGTTTCCATAACAATTTGCACTGCTCCAAAAGTTAATTTTGTTCCATTAGTTCCTATAATGCTTCTACACCAAGGTCCATCTCATCGATGCTGAAGTCCACCGTGTTCTAACGTCTGATTGAGGTTGACAATCTGCTCTAACATTAACGAATTCCTTGATATCAAGAGGTGTTGGCCTAAGTGTATTCAGTCAGCCAACCTAACCTCTTCTCTGTTGTACGTCCAGTCCTGCAAAGGACTAAATCAAAGCTACCGAGTCAAGAATCTAAACAGTATTTCTATTCCTCTAGTAGGTTCGTTGGTTCGGAGACCAATTTATTCTGTGCAATCCCTTGCTATCTATAGCAAAATTCCAAACTTGTAGCAGCCACCAATAAGGGTGTCAATGGACTGGTTTTGGATTGAAACCCGTCCATTCTAAAATCAATTTGGACGAATTGGACAGACCAACAAGACATATTGGATTGGACTAATTCGGTCCAAAATATTTATTAGATTGGATTGGACCTGGTTCATCCATAACAAATTTATATTAGATTGGGTTGGATTAAGCCAATATCTAGTCCATTGATATAAGATAAGAATATAGGTGTCAATGGACCAGGTTTGGATTGAAACCAATCTAAATCAAAATGAATTTGAATATATTGAGCGGTCCAGACATTGAATTGGACCAATCCAAATTGGTCCAGAACATTCATTGGATTGGATTGGACCTGGCCCATTGATAATGGACTCACAGTGGAATGGATAGGATTGGACCAAATCCAGTCCAATTGACACCCCTAGCCACCAACACACAAGCGTTGGAGGGGATTTTCATTCTAACATAACTGCATCACCTAACATGAATTTGTCCTATTTGTGACTTCATTTATTCGTTAAGTTTTAAGCATTGGAAGGGATTCTTCTGTTCTCTGTCAACTACCTATAGCGGCGATCTTCTACAGCCACGAGATTGTAAAGAGATGAGTGGTAGCAACAACAAGAGGGACTTTGTATTGGAGAAAGAGAGAATCAGAGAAGAGTTAGGATAATGTGAGCTCAATATGGTTGGTTGATAAAGAAAATTAGATAACAAACGAAGGGCAATTTTGTCCTTTTACATGCCACTTAACATCTATTAACGATTTTGGACTAAACTAACAGCTTTCAAGAGTTCAAGTACTTAGTAGTACGTTTTGAAGTTTGGGTACTAAAGTGAGACTACCCTTAAAGTACAGGGTATTAATATGGAATTTTCCCCACTATATATATATATAGATAGATAGAGATAGATAGATAGATAGATGATAGATATATATAATTCTATGAAAATTGTTACAACATAACTTTAAGTGTCAAAGAACCAGTGATAAAGAAACATGTCACAATGATTTGTTTGATGTTGTTAAGGCTGTATTTGGTTGCAATGCAAATGCAAATATGCACACTACATATTTACCTCTTTTTCGGTTCATGAATTTAAACGCAGTTCACATCTTAAACCATTTTTGCATTCATCTTGTTTGGTTGAAATCGGTGCAAAGTGTGAACCCATCATTAAATGCTCCAATGCCTTAACTTTGGTCAGAAAGTTAATTATCAAAAGAATACAAAATTGTATCCAAAAAATAAGTACAATAATGCTCTCTTCTCAGAGTACAATAGTGTCAGAAAATATATTTTTCACTCTGATAATCATTACTTTTTTACGTGTCAAATAAACACTCACAAACGTTGAACCAGGGTACATGTATCGCAAACAAACAGAGCCTAAAGTCTTTAATAATAAATACACTTTGGACTTGTTCATTTTTCAAGAAGTCATTTACCTGGTAAATGCACTTATTCGGACAAATGTTTTCTGAAAATTAAAGGTAGTAATGATCATTTTATTTATTAGGTAGTAATGATCATTTTACCCAAGTGGATAGTAATGATCATTTATTAGGTAGTAATGATTGTTTATTAGGTAGTAATGATCATTTTATTCATAAAGTGATAAAATTAAAGGGAAAATGTTGTTTCATAATGTGTTAACAATTTTCTTCATGGGTAAGAAAGTCATTTACCCAAGTGGATAAGGGGTAATACTTACCCAAGTAATTGTCATACTCAAGAATCGTTCATTCAATGGAACTCACCAATATCGAAAAACGAACACAAATAAATTGATCAACTCTTGCAATGGCCAATTTACTCACCCTTGTTTACTTAAAAAACAAAGTAAGTCTTGTAAAATGTAAAAATACACCTTTTAGTAACATTGAATAAAAACTAAATAGATGATGTGATGTTTTTAATGTGATTGATTAAATCTTGAGTTAATATACAGAAAATATATGAAATGCACCATATTATACTCTTAAAAAATAGGAAAGAAAATTGAAATGGAAAAAAGGGTTTTAAGTTTCAAAGAAGTGGGCTTTGCATTCTCAAGAGGCCAAAAATCTTGGATGCGAGTACAATGGATACACAGATGTGGTTTAGAGCTCCATAACTTGCCAAATGTTCCACGTTTCAAGCAGGGGACCCACCAATAGATGGGTCTAACTTTAGATGTCTACTAGGGGGCTGTTTGGCATCGTTGCCATTTCCTGGAGTAATGGCACCACATCAGTGATACATCAGAAAAAACGGTGCTTCAAGAAACGGGCATTTGTTTGGAATCGTTTTTCTATAAAAAACGGTGCTTCGAGCCATGTCTCGAAAATCGGGAAGCCATGGCTTGGAGCAACGTCAAATTTGACGTTTTCTGGAGCTACAGCTCGTTGCTGCCAACAGGGCAGTGATGTGGCATTGGATAATGGGTACCAGTGCTGAAAACGTTTTCTGAAACACTGGTACCAAACAGAAAAAGTTGCGGTTGCTCTAGAAAACATCCTACCTGACAACAATAATTCTAAACAAAAATAAAGACACCATTTTTTAAAAAAATGGTGCTCCAAGTCACACATCAGCAGCACCATCTGCAACTGCAGCATGGATGCCAAACATATATTAGGGCAAAATATCAGCATTTCATATTGGGTCCTAAATCCTCATTCTTGAATAATGGACAGAGAGAAAGCCTTGACCCATCTTGGTTCCGGATCCAAGAAGCTCCCCCCTCAATAAAATGAAGCAATACAATTTCAGCTATACCAAATACCATATTGTGAACACGTTATTCGACACCATTAGACCAACTCTTCATCAAGCTTGCGTAAAAGCCCATTGACCCGATCCTTTTCCAATCTAAAACGGGTCCAATGTGAACCACTGAACCGGAAGAGCATTGGTTAGGATCCAAAATCTAAATGAATAAAACCCATGGGCTGGCTTCAAAATAAATAATAATAAAACCCATGGACCACATGCAAATGGATGCAATACATCAATATAGACCTAACCCAACACTACGTCTATAGTAAAGACTTCAATTCCAAATTGATATCGACATACACTTCAATCAGACTAATTCCGGCTTAAAAAGGAAATCAGATTTAATTCTAAGAGCCAGAACCCAGTAGAAGTGGAAAGGAATCAAATCAAGAGAGGTTTGTTTTTCTACTTTTGGCTGCCGACGCTTCCGAAGGGTTAAAGCAATGTACCTTGCTTTAGTTGGAAGGTTCAGAGCTTCTAGGTTCTCTTCATCTAGCCTCATTTCTAACTGGATTTCTTTTAATTTGTCTTCAACAGATATTTACGGGCTTTTCCCCTTTTTAATTCTCTTTCTCCATCCAAACCCATATCAATTCATTACTATTTTATGCTTTTTCTCATCAACATACAGAACCCCTTGCACAAGTTCTCTACTCTCCACACAAAAATAGAAAAAAAAAATCTACAAGTGGATGTACCATAAAATCTGAAAACTAGAAGAGTAGGTAATAGATCTGCAGACGTCCTTCATTCTGAATGAACCTAACTTTTATCTTCCATCCTATATCTACATGCTTAGCTATTATCCTAAGGCGGGGTCCACCAAGTGGAGGGTAGAGATCCACTGAGGATCATAGTGGGCCATGCCACATGAATTTGCTCCTCCCAGTCCCTCCATGTGCTAATTAACGCTAGTGATAAAATGCGGTGCATCTTTTAAATGATGCAATGGTGTAGGAAATAAGAATGCTTTTGTGTGAACAATTCTCAATTAACTTTCTGAGGTGTGTCATTCCATGAAATTCGGGGCCTTATCTCTTCAGAAAGTATTCAATTACGGAATTGAAATTATATGAAGAAAGCATTACTGTATTTCTTTTCTGTGAATAAATTCTCAGTGGGACCCAAATAGATGGAAATTGATTTCCACTCATCAAATCCTTGGATTCCATTCCATGACAATTTTGAAACCCAAGGTTTGACCATGAGATTTTGGAAAATTTTGCTGGATTTCGATATCTGAAATGGCAGAAATCAAAACCAACCATGTTGACAAAACGCCCCAAGATGAATTTCCTCCACAATACAGCTTACCTGGAATATCCCTTTGTATTTCTCGTCAGTCATCAGAAAGTAGCAGACATTTTATGAGGAAAAAAGAAGGGGCACATGGGCTGCTGAGGCAAGGGAGACCAGCAACAACAGGCTCAGCTAATGAAATCATACACAGCATGGACCTTCCAATGAGTTTACTGTTCCTCAAAACCATAATAATGGGTTTTGATGGTTCAAGAAGAAAGTAATGGTTATAAATACAGTTATATTATTTTAGAGGCCATTGCTTGGTGCAATGGTGAAACCTCTCTAGCTAACAAAAGTGAGAATGTGGATTTGAGTCTGAGAGTGGCCCCCTTAATGTAGGAGAATGAGACCCAACATAGTCAGGACAAACATTTGGTAATAACCCCTTTTATGCCTGAAAAAAAAATAACCCTTTTTATATAATTATCATATTTTGGTAAAATCAAACTTCCATTAATCATAGACATCAGCCAACAAATTGTGAGTGGATCTAACCTTTCATCTGCACCAGCAAAAAGCTTTCAGATGTTTAGCTCTATTTCCCAATCTGCTAATAATAGAAAAAAAAAACAAACATTACAAAGCAGCTAAGCTCAAATTAAAGAGTTTGGATGAAGAAAGTGCTCAAGAGAAAAGAAATAATTCTTTAGAATGATGTTGAACTTCAGCCTATTTGCCAACCTAAAAGAGCAACACCAGTTTCTGAAGACAGAGGGAATCTAAAGTCTAAACCAGTCGGGCTGCAGGAGCCACCTTTGCTGGTTCAAAATGTGAATGGGAATACCAAATAAAAGCTTAACAAAGTTGCCTTATCCCAACTACATTACCAAAATCACTATTTTTTCTTTTTATGCTATTACAAAACACACATTACAGGGGGGATTCATGGGGTTGAGGCAGAGAAGGGTGTATGTGAGATCCACTGACCTTACCATGGAGAGCCTGCGGTTAGACGTGTTTGATCCCACACCATCTCTTCTCAAGGGAATGCTGTGTGTCTATCGAACAACTGGGTCATCGTCGTCCTTGGTCATTTTCTTAAAACACACATTATCTTCAGCTTCCTTTAGCTCTTCTAAAACTATCAGCTTGCATTATACAACTTTTTCATGGGCGTGGTTAATAATCTTCTATGTAGATTACATGACCAAACCATTTTAATCTACTAACAATAACTATTCTTTTTCTTATTCTCTGAATATCACTAGCTGCCTTGAAGATTTTTCACTCCTCAAAAATTAGCTGATAATTATATAAACAAACCATTCCACTAAAAGTTCTTGCTCCTAAACCAAAAATAATTGATCATAATTAACTATTCTTTTTCTTATTCTCTGAATATCACTAGCTGCCTTGAAGATTTTGCACTCCTCAAAAATTAGATGATAATTATATAAACAAGCCATTCCACTAAAAGTTCTTGCTCCTAAACCAAAAATAATTGATCATAATTAACTATATATTTTTCAATTCAACATTCATTCCTACCATTTTCCAAACATAAGAAATGCCAGCTAATGCACAGTGCATAATGCATTTTTTATCAGTACACAATTAAAATGCATAGTTGATCCAGAAATAATAGTTTCAAGGACAGGATTTCAGAGCTAGCTAAATTACATAGTACATACTACAGTACAACCATACTACAGAAAAAGAGGAAGGCTAAGCATACAAGTTGGTGAAACTCATCTTTAAATACAGTACCTTGAACGTTGTCCATCTAGTGCATGGTATAGGTCCAGCATTTGGGACAATTACCACAGACAGAATGGAAGGGAAGGAAAAATGTGGTAGATCTGGAGTCATTTGAAACAAAAGTAGATAACACACACTACACAGAGTCCAACACCATGTACTTGATCCACAATGTTCACCCATAAAAAATAAAATAAAATAAAAGATCGACAGGTTTGATCCATTGATATGCTTAGAACCTTATTTATAGCACCAAGTCCTGATGGGCCCCTCAATAATCTCACACTAGGGTTCGAAATGCTCTACCCCATTACATCACTTCTGCCATTAAATTTAAAAAGCTTCCCTTGTGGGCATCACTTACTGGATTGGTGTATAGATAATTTTGATCAACTGTGAATCAGTCTACAAGATAATGCCATATTTAATTAAATAAACCAAAGAAATAAAATTTTGTGTACAATTTTGAGTGTGAAGGCTGTGTAAAATCTCTATACTGGAATTTGGAGGGGAAGACATAACATAGTTGTTTCTATTATTTGACAGAGATCACAAACTGTAAGAAAGAATCTTGCAACCAATTGCGGACTACTAATTTATGACAACTATCCTCATAGTCACACACCTTTGCTTGCTCGTTGCAGGACTCTGCGGAGCTCATCTGCAATTCCGTGCAGCATAACTGGTTTGTGGATGAGACCATTCATTCCCACCTGCAGGCACCATTCCCATACATTGTGGTCTGCACTAGCTGTCAGGGCTATAATCAATGGCCAGCTCCGGCTTTGGAACTTTCGTACTCTAGTTGCAACTTCAAAGCGATCCATCTCGGGCATATTGAGGTCCAAAAGAATGATGTGAAATGAAGTTGCAGAGGGCCCAAGAGCACTAAGGCATTCAAACCCAGAGGAAATGACAGCAACTTGACAACCGAGCTTCTCAAGGAGCTTTCGTGTCACAGCCCTATTGATGTCATCATAATCAGCTAATATAACTTTAAGGCCTCTGAATTCTGAAGGTAGCTGCTCTGATGATCCACCTGGTTCAAAGATGCCTCCTCCTATAGATGGTTGGAGTTGAAACTTAAGGATAAGTCTCATGCTTTGTACAAAATCCCTAGTGTTTGGGACAACCCAAATGTTCCCTTTCATCATCTGCATATTGGTTTCAAAATCAAGATAGTAAATTCTGAAAATATAAGATGCAAAATTAACCACCAAGGCATACAAGTTGTTCAATTATGTATATATCCATCAGTTATATATACTTCATTAGAGTTATCAATAGAAGCATGAACCAAGCCCAAGCAGATAACCAAATATGAGCCACACATTAGAGTTATCAATACAAGCAAATACAACCCATAAGAATGAAGATAATTTCGCAATACATATAAAAAAATAATAATTGGGCAAACATTATTGGCCAATTGCCATGAGTAAATATAAAAGATTTTATGGCTTGGCATATCCTGTTCAGGGTCGTAAACACCTAATGACTTTCTGAGAAAGTTTGTTAGAAGATATAGTTGTCTTCTTAATAATTTTGAAAATAAAATGTTGAAATTTTTTATCAGTGAAAATAAAATGTTTAATTGCAATGCCTTGAAGCCTTCAAATATGAACAATCCAGAATCCCAATATAGAGATGAATTATCATTGTGAGAGAAGAACATCAGTTCTATGTTTTCTACATGTCTTAAGGACAGTTTAATATCAATTTCTTTTATCTGGGGTAATGCTATGACTTCCTCTGCATATTTGCAGATTATCTAAGGCAATCCTTTTAATCATAGAGATAAAAGTAACTCATAATATAGACAAAAGATTTAGATTTTACCTGCACAAGCTTTTTGCACATACTGAAGCTAAGATCTTCCTCGATTCTCTCAGTGCTGTGTCTCCTTCCAGTGAATTGTACCATTGATGCTGAGCCTTCTGGTTGTGAACCATAATTTCTAATACCAATTTCAAACTTTATATAAGCATGGTCACTGAATGAGCTTGGTCTCCACATTTCCCATTTCTGGTCATTCCTACCCACACTTCCACTTTCCTTGGAGACATGAAATGTTACATATCCTCCTCCCTCACATCCCTTCAGAATATTCCCAACCATATGCAATATCACCTGAAAAACTCTTCTCTCATCTCCCATTACCTGATCAGGCACTGGGTTCTCAACCTCCATGGTGAAAGAGAAACCTTTACAAACACATAGACACTTGGCAAGACAAGCTGCTTCCTTGATCATCGTGTGCAGCTGGAAAGATCTCATTTCTAGTGGAAACCTTCCATTATCCGCACTTGAAATCTCCATTACATCATTTATCAGGGTTGAGAGTACAATGCTGGTCTTTAGCATTGATTCAACTATGATGTGCTGCTCACTGCTCAGATTTTCATGCTGTATCACAGAGAGCAGTCCCAAGATAGAGTGCATTGGCCTCCTCATACTGTGGCTCATCACATTCTGAAATGAATTTCTGGCTTGGCTTGCCAAAAATATTTTCTCCCTAACCTGTTGCAGTGCCCGGTTCTGCTCTGCTAGTTTGTCTCTCATGAGCTGAGACTCTTCCAGAACTGCAGCATGGGATAGAGCAACAGCCACCTGATCAGCAACCACCTCCACTATCTCCAATTCATGGAAAGTCCAAACTCTACCACCTGTGTTTGGAAGAACCAAAACCAGTATTGCATAACATTGTGGGATTAATTCTGGTGTCCCTCCTTTGAAGTTTGCTACCCGCAACATGGGCATCCGAATTGCCGCCACAGCACCAGGCTCACCAAATCCACCACTGCTTGCAATACCAAGAGCTGAGTCTGGCCTCAGGATCTTCACTCCCCTGCTCTCCTTAATTTCTTTTACATCCGGATCATTTATTAGGATAGCAGGGCAAGAGTGAATCAACGAACTCCTCCCTTTCAACTCGTGGGTCAAGTTCATCTCTGTTTTAATCTCGTTGGGCATCCAAACCGCACAGTTCTGCAGGTCCAAAGTATTGGACAGCTTGAGCAGAGTGGTGTATAAGATGGTATGCCTATCCAGTGATTTCCGAATCTCTTGGGTCAGCTCTCGAACATGCAAACTGGCTTCCTTCAGTTTCTTCATCTTCCCTACCTGTCTATTAAGCTCCCAGGCCTTCTTCTTCAAAAAGAGCTCTCTTACCTTTACTTTGAGAAGCAGAGGAATGAGAGTTATCAGAGTGATAGCAGTTGCACTGGAGACCAAGGCAGTAAGAAATTTGAAGATGGTGAGCACCAGCATCAGCTGGAATGTATGCGGGGCATAAGTCCACCCGTTCAGCAAATGAGTCATCCCGCAGAGGACTATGAAGGCAATGAACTGAAAGAGGACCCATTTGAATGGGACGTTGGAGCAACTAACGAAGTAAAGGAGCTCAACAGGGATTGAAAAGTACGCTACTGCGATCAGGAAATCGCTCACCCTCTGGCATTCTAGAATGTTGTCCACGCTCCAGAAGCCTTCGTCATCGCAGTTACAGCGTGGGAATCCATTCTCCATGGCAGAAACAGAGAAAAAGAGAGAAAAAATCGACAGCAAAGAAGCCGATGCTTTCAGCATTGTTTCTAAGAAATGCTGCTAAAACCCTAGAACCAAGGCTCCAAGATCTAACCCTGTTCAAAAAAAAAAAAAAAAAAAATTCTAACAAAACCCAATAAACTTCAAAATTAAAAGAACCCCTTTTGCCAGTTCTTGACAGCTTGATACCCAGAACCCAGAAACCACCTAAGTCTTCGTCTTTTACATCAAAATTCAAAATTTTCCAATTGTTTTGCTTTTCCCTCTTTTGCTAAATTCTGTTTATCTGCCTTTTTCTTAAACTTTTTTCTCCTATATTCTATGTTTACACACAACAACACATTGAAGAGAATAATATCTCTACAACTCACGGCATAAAAAATAAAGAATCACACACAGGAAAAAAAAATGCAAAGAAAGAACCACTATTACGTTCCTACCGACCACTCCGACCTTTCAAAATCACCAAAAATAAAATCAGCAACAGGAATACGAGGCGGGTAAACGTAGTACCTAAAAAACACACATACACGTGGCAAACAAAAACAAGATTTCAACAAAAAAGTCACCTTCAGATCTTTTCCTTTCTCTTTCTTCTTGTTTGCCAAACTCAATGCCAACGTTTATAGTATTAATTTCGCCAAACTGATTGATTTTGACGATTTCCACTTTCCGGTATTAATTTCGCCGCCTCCCGACTCGTACAATTGTGTATTGTTTAGAAAACGAAATCCACCGACCATCAACAAAACGATATAACAACAGCGACCAGAACAGTAATAATAAGAAGACCCCTCCTCCTCCGTCGTCTGATAAACCCAAACCAAAAAACAGAACCCAACCTAAAACCCCGGTCTCGATAAAACTTCCCACCACCAACCTAGTCCCGTCATACTGCGCCGCCCAGACCGCTGGAACAGAGCAGAGGAGGGGGAAAGCGGTTTTGGGTTCTGGGTTTGTTTCGCAGCTCATGGCAGAGAAGATGAATCAAAAATATCGAATTCTCTCACTGTTCTTTCCATCCTCATTTTTCAAAGCTTCGAGTAAAGTTTGAGAAGCGAAACGTGTCGAATGAAGATAAGAGGGAAGTACTGTTTTGAGTCTGTGACGTTGAAATAGATCAATGGGGTTCCCGGGGGAAGGAGAATAGGAGAGCTGTCGTCGTTGTGTTGGTTTGACAGATGAAACCATTATTAAAGAGAAATAAAAAAGGGTAAATTCCATGTTAGCAACCTCTGATTTTGGGGGTGGTCACAATTTCCCACTTAGCCCCTAGACCTGTTGTTCATGGGCTGGGTAATCCGATGGCCCGGCCCGCACCCCGGTCGGGCGGTCGGGCTTGGTCATGTAATTAGGCCCGCAGGCCTCACCTCGGGCCTAACACAGTAAGCCCGACTGTGTTTTGGGCCGGGCTCGGGATTTGTCAAAAAAGCCCAGCCCAACAGCATTATATATTTTATAAAATATATAATATATAAAAATAATATAATATTTATTAAAATATATATTTATAATTTAATATATACATTTTTTATTCTTTTCTTTATAATTTCTCTCACTCTCTCTCTCTCTATTCAGCCACTTCAACAGTAGTAACAATATGGCCTAAATTTCGGGCTCGGGCCTAGGCCCGAGCTTTAGGCTTTTTATGAGGGCTGGGCACGGGCCCAAGTTGTAGGCCCGATGGTTAGGCTGGGCTCGAGCTCGGGCCTTAGAAAAATCTATTAATACAGAGTGAAGCCCGACTCGACCCGACCCATGAATAGGTCTATTGACCACACCAGAGATCTATTAAACAAATAATAAAATAATAAAGTTGCTAATTTGGCATTGCTCAAGTCAAAATAAATATGAGAAATTATAAGTGAATATCACTTAAAATGCAATGTGCCAAGTCGATACTTTCCGGCTTTGTGGTTTATTCTAAATAGGGGTGTAAATGGATCGAAGTCGAATCGAATCAAGTAATATTCGAACTTGAATCCGATTAGAAAATTCCATATCCGATGGATATTAAAAATTAATATTTGAATTTGAATCCGATTAAATATTCGAATGTTCAATTTGATTCGAATTCGACTAATTAATTATTTTAGGTAATTAATAAATATATAAAATAAGTATTTTATTTATATAAAGTATATAAATTATTTATATAATTTAATTATTATATATATAAATCATATAAGACATTTAAAAATTTTATATTATATATAAGAATTGAATAATTGGTCGAATTCGAATATTTATCGAATCGAATAAGATCATATCCGAATTCGAATCCGATCCACTATTTGGTATGAATAGGATATCCGAATTCGACCAATCCGAATTCGACCAATTAGATATTCGAATTATCCGAATTCGATTCAATTATAACAAATCTTAAATTCGAAATTGGATTTTCGAATACCGTTGACACCCCTAATTCTAAAAGTCACTTATCCTTTTTACGGATTCTTCTCAAAGACACCTATATCTTTTCTGGATTTTTCGAATTTTCTAATTTTAAAATTAAAAAAAAATAACTCAAGAGACCAATCACCTTTAATACACCATTCTCTCTCTCTCTCTCTCTCTCTCCCATTAACTCTTTTAATAATCTCTCCTCATTAATTATGCTATTAAATCTCTCATTCAATAATTCATGCCACTAATTCTTTCTCATCTCCATTACTCTATTAAATTGGTTTTATCTCATGGTCAAATCAACTAGTTTTTCTTGAAATAGGTAAATCCATCACCAAACAATGATTCTGAGTCTATTTACAACCAAAACTTGCAAAAGACCATTTACTTGATTATCAACATGGTGACCTAATTGAACAATTTATGGACTTAATTAATGGAATCTAACAATAAAAAAGCAAAAATACCTTAAATATAGGATTCAAAGAATATGAGTTAATACCTTAAATATGGGATTTAATGGGAGGGAATTGAATAAACTAAATAGTAGTATTGAAATTATATTTTTTGCCCCCAAAATGAAGAATGTCCAAATTGAAAATGAAAGGTGTTTTACTGAGAAAAATTACAGAAATAAATTGAAGTTAATACCTTAAATATGGGATTTCATAAGAGGGAATTGAATAAACTAAATAGTAGTATTGAAATTATATTTTTTGCCCCCAAAATGAAGAATGTCCAAATTCAAAATGAAAGGTATTTGTGCCAAGAAAAATTTTAGAAATAAATAGGAGTTAATACCTTAAATATGGGATTTAATGAAATGAATAGTGGTATTGAAGTTACACATTTCCCCCCAAAATAAAGAGTGTCTAAATTCAAAATGAGGGGTATTCTAGTCAAGTAAAATTCTAGAAATCTTAGGCCTCATTCGTGCTTTTTATAGTAGTATAGATATTAATTTCAATTTAACTATAACTATATATATAGATAGATAGAGATATTCAATGATATATTATTATGCTAAATAATCTACTTCCACTCAAAAATATAATTCATTTATATTCCATTTGAAAATAATAAAAACTAACCAACCATAACAAAAATAATTTAGTAAGTTACTTAAATAAAATGAAAATAATTATTAATTATTGTTATTGATCAAAATATTTTATTAATATAATAAAAAGAATAAGATAAATAAAAAATTAATATAAAACTAATACAAAATTATCAAACAATTATTAGTTTTATAATTAAATTTTATTAATTCAAAACCAACTTAAGTTCCACTGAAAAATAAAAATTTATATAAAATTCATAAGGGATTCAAATTTAATAAAAATTAATATAATTAAATAAATCCAATTTTTTAAAATTTAAAAAATTGATAAAAATATTAATTTTAAATATAATTTAATTGTTTTCAAATCAACTTAAATTCCATTTAAAATAAGGAAAATTATAAAAACCTCATTGGGTTTTCTAACAATCCTATGAAACTCCCCAGTTTTTTGACCTTAACAAAACCTCCCTTATTATTTCAAAAAAAGATGCAAATACCTTCATTTCGTCAATTTTCCAAATAAAAAATGTTGATGCAATGCATTAATTTTACTTCACATCAGCCTTTTACCTTATTCTGTCCAAGAAGAGTAAGGAGAATTATTCTTTGAAAGTTGTCTGGAAAAATAAGTTAGTGAAGGATAAGGTTGAAACATTAAATTATGTATGGTAATGCATATACAATGATAAGACTTCAATGTCTTTGCTACCGAAAAGCCAAGGGAAAGGCGGTATTTGCATTTTTTTTCTCAAAACTATAGGAGAGGCCTTTGTCAGGGGCAAAACACAAAGGTGGTTTATAGAATTGTATTAAGAGGATTTTTTATAATTTCACCTAAAAATAATAAAAAAAATAATAATAAACCAATATAAATTAATAAAAAAATTTCTCAAAAATAATAAAAACTAGCATTAAGATACAAAAAGTACAAATTTATCTAGAGAATAGGAAATTGACCACTCTCACTAAAGCACAACTTAAGTTGTAATTGGATAAACTAGACATATCCCCCCAAAAAAATAAAACTTGAATTAAACTTAGACGGATGCCACTTAATTGGAAATGTCATAAAGCTCTATCTTTAATTTTACTTATAAATAAAGCCCATGAATAAGCATGGGTCCTGATAAAATACCCAAGAAAAAAACCCCACTAAAGTTAATAATGGGAGAATTGATGTTGTAGGAGGGAGACCTGTTTGAAATTTCTTTTGAGGGGGGACTACTTAGCAAAAAGGAAAAATATGTTTATAAAAGAAAACCTAATTTCTTTAGCTAATGCAAGAACTCTTTCATCTTCTCTCTTTTCAGACCTAAGAGAAGGTGAAGACAATCCATTATTGGAGAATCAATGAGGGGTTTCATCTCAATGATTTTTGGCACCAAACCGCTCTTTAGGCAAGTCTTTTTCTCCTTTGGACTTTCATTTTTTTTCCTTGTGTATTAAACTTAAAATTAGGATTTTTGTAGATGGTCATTTTCCAGCCAACCTCCAGTAAGAAAAACAGTTTTAATAGAGACTTTATGACATCAGGAACCCAATGGATCTAACCTTGTGTCTTTTGGATTTATGGAAGGAATGCTAAGTTAAATTTTGGGTTGAAACATAGGGGATGTTAACCAACTTTAGGCAGCTGAAAACTGGCATTCTGATAACGTTTTTTACTAGATTTTGTTTCTAAATTGTAGTTCTCTATGAGATACCTAGAACTCTTTGTTTGGATTTTTGTACTAAAATTTATGAATTTTTAAAGTTGATATATTAAATATGTTAAATCGGAGAATTTGAGAAACTGTTAGCAACCAGCCAATTTTAGGCCACTAGAAAGGGGCCATCCAGTGATCTCTTTAAATGGGAGTAAGGTTTAAATTATATTGGGTTATGAGACCTTTATGACAGTATATCATACTTGTAAGAGAGAGAGAGAGAGAGAGCTAGTATATCATAACAATGATCTCTTTTCAGACCATCATTATTAGTATTATTTTTTGTATGATTGGTCCAACTAGGGAGATGAAATGTTACTTACTGAGGGTTGCACTCATTATTCCCAGTTCTCATCCTTTTCAAGTGATAGAAAAATAGTTACTATATGGGATTATTTGAGAGAGAGAGAGAGAGAGAGAGAGAGTTTATTTGCATTAGAACTTGTGGTAGATTTATTAGTTGGATTTTAGATTTATTATTTTTTTTGTACAAGAGTTTTCATTAAACCCTTAGACATTTGATGGAACTCAAATTATTAGAAATTATGTGATTTTACATTTAGTTTACTATTTGTTTTTATTTAAAGTTTATTGTTAAAATTTTAGATCTTGATTGTGAGCAAATAAAGCCTTACATGCTAGTAAGCATGTGGCATTGTCTTGTGCCTAACCTTGGTTGGGGGCGTGACACCCAACTAGTATGACCAAGAATAAAAATAAAGTTAGTTATTTTTATTTAAAAATTAATTAATAAAAATATTAATTATATGTGGATCCCATTTAAACCGGATAGGCTATATCTCAAATACAAGTGAAAGTCTAGAAGCCCAACAAATGTGAAGTTCCAACATACGCAACGATCATTCATTACTTTGTTGGAAGTTGCTTCTTTTTACTTTTTTGCTATTGAGCTTGTATGAGTATGGGATGTCTTTATTCCTTTTCAATTGTGAACTTGTAGAAAGGGAACTTTGTTTATTTTGCTTGAAACT